GACAGTCGGTTAGAGTCACATAGGGTAGCGACAGCCTTCTCTATCACTTTGTGGTATATCTACAGGGTATCCTTTAGCTGGCCATTTAGCTATATAATTTGTATTATTTTATGGGCTTAAAGGAAAGTTTAGAAGCACACGCAAATTTTTCCATAAACAAAATCACAATCATCAATTAACTTTGCAGCTCTATCGAGCATACCTCTAATTCGACCACATGCTATAAATATTTATATATATACGTACATACATGTATATGTACTACATATTTATATATGTTTCTTTTTATCAAATTGGCACACATATTCGAGTTCCATGAGCACATAAAAACACGTAACGAGCGACGTACGTAATTAGACAACAATAACAAAACGAATCACAGATAACGTATGCAGAAGTCGAATAAAGGAAGAAGAAGAAAGAAACTGATAGCGCAGGCCACGTGGAGAAAAATACACCACGTTGATGTATAAACTACGTGTTTGTGTGTGCGTGTGTGTGTACATATAGCATGACTGATATCTGTGAGCCATCCTCAACAGATCTGCTTTTGACCATATGCGCAACATTTGGCTAAAATAAACTGCACACACAAACACACGAAATTATTTCCAATTGACGTCAAGAAACAGCACAAAAAAAAAAAACTCAATATGGCAAATGAAAATTAACGCATATACGGCAAAAATTTTACACATATATACATATATACACATATATGTGTAATAGATAGAAAGCCTCTCTGCGAGTGAGGGCGCGTCGTATACCACGAGAAATCAATAAAAATGACTAGCTAGACGAGCGTGCGGTACAAAATGGAATGAAACAAACTAAAATATGAAATGTGTAGCTATAGATATTATGCAGATAAATGTGCAGAGATATACAGTTATATATGCATACATCTCATATACGATTTAGGTTAATGAGCCTTTGAGGAAATATTGCAACAATTTTTCTAGACTGAATTTATTGCGATTGTTGAATTGAAATTAAAATAGAAATATGATTTTTATACAAATGGTTGAATGGTCTATCCCATACCTAAATGCGTTGATCTCGAGAGTTACAAGAGTTAGAGTTCCGCAAATTTATATAAAGATTCCTGTATGCCTTTCTTAACAACTCATTCATTTTAAAATCGATACAAATCGTAATATCGAAATATTTTCATATATAAATCTAGAGCAATTCTAGAAAAATCACAACAGAAGAAACAACTGTTCAGGGTATTTGCCAGTCGAGCACTCCCGGCCAGAGCATTCTAGCTTTAAACCTAGCCAAATGACATGCACTAACTTAAATCTTATCGAGGCAGAGGTGCTAACAAAACACTTCAAGCTATATCAGTTCGAATATCTGCAACATTTGATTAATGAACTTTAGACAATTACTAAACAAGCTCTCAACTTAGTCACATTTTATTCAGAGTTTGCCAAGCAATCATTAATTGCAGGCAACAGATATTGAGAGTATGTCAGAAATAATATACAACCAAAAACGAAGATCATCAATCAAAAAAATATTCAAAATTGATATCAATTAATCGATAATTGCATAAAACGATTAACAAAATCATTTATAATCGCACGCAACAAATCGTTGAATTATTTCCTCAACTTCTGCTCTTGCTTTAATTGAGTATTAATACCTAAGTAACGGAACATTGTTGAGTTATTCAACACTCTTACATTATTGACTTATCAATCAAATCTAATATTTAGGCAATTAGTTCTGCTAGTTCTTTGAAATATAGATAGCAAGATACAATCCATTAATATATGTATATATATTTATATCTATATCCATATTCACATCATAATCTAGAATATAAACGCTCTCGTCGCACATTTGAAGGTCAAACACAATCGAATAATTTCACCTTATTAATGTCTTGCATAAGCACAAAATTCTACAATCGTAGAACTCAGGAACCCTGACCTATACGAATTGCGATCAATTTTCGTTAAGCATAGAAGGGAAAGCAACCAAATTAATTGTGAATTTCGAATGAACTCATATTTCTGCTATGTGACGTTTGTGAATCGTTTCGCTCTATGAATGAGAATGTGAAACCATGAAACTAAGATCCTAAAAATAATCTTTATAATATTGTTCTATTATTGCCTTGGAACACAGAGTTCATATCCTAAGTTCTCTGGTCTTTAACGTTTTACTGGTTTCTCATGTGAAGATATCATATAGACTCTATAATATATTTTGCATTCGTAAACGTTTTACTGGCTTCTTTGCTCTTGCTCAGCTCAATCGACTATATATATATTGATATTTTCTATGGTATACGTAAACGTTTTACAGGCTTCCTTCAGCTAAATCTTCTATGAAATGCCTATATAATTACCTTAATGATTACCTCATGTTCTCTTTAATCTCAGAACAAAATCGTTTCCACTAGAAAGCGAATCGCTTGAAAATTATTGAAAATTATATTTCTATTTCACTTTTGCTTAAATTCTATTAGATATATATATTCTTTTTAGCACTACGAATAACCCTGCATTCATAAATGCGAATGCGAATCAGCTTAAAATCTTTTACGTTTGCTTATTTTGCGTGCGTCAAATATGAAAATCAAATATGAATGCAACGGATGTGGCCAAGAATCGGCATTGAGTGGGGCGATCTTAGGGAAGGGTCTACAACAAAAATTCTTTCTTCTTTTTCTTTTTCTTTGTTTTTTTGGCAACTGCAATATTGAAAATAATTGTAAAATTCGTTCGGCCCATTGCAAAAGCCATGAATTATGGCGCACATGGCCAGCTTTCAATTTCAGAAGAGATGTAAAGGCAGAAACGAAAACATTTAGAAAACACACATGAAAATCAAATCTAAAATGTATAATATATATCGAACACTTAGTATTTACCAGGCCAATATAAAATGGAATTTTTATTGCACTGCTCGAGTTACGAAACATACCTGCAAGACACAAAAAGAGAATGAAAGAGTTAATTAGTATGTGGTATAGAGTTAATTAGTTGCTTATGATATGAACAAATAGGTAAAAGGGAGATATCGAGAAGACTGTGTTTTAGACTTCGAAATATCATGTATTTTATAATTATATAATTGGTTAGATCAATAAATATTTTAGATATTTTTTATGTAAGATTTATATATATCTTTTAAAATTTAATATTTTTTTTTTAAATTCAAAACATTATTTCAAAACTAATTGGTACAATTCTTAAAAATTAAAAAATTAATTTATTTATTATGTTTCATTAAAAAAAATAATAATAAATGTAAAAATATATATATATATATTTATGTGTACAAAAATATATAAAAACAATATATATATAAAAATATATATAAAAAAATATATAAACAAAAATATATAAAAACAATATATATATATATAAAAATATATAAAAATATATATAAAAATATATATAAAAATATTTATAAAAATATATATAAAAATATATATATAAAAAATATATAAACAAAAATATAAATAAATAAATATATATATAAATTATAAATATATAAAATAAATATAAAAAAATATATAAACAAAAATATAAATAAATATATATATATAAATTATAAAAATATTTAAAAAAAATTAAAAATATATATATAAAAATTATAAATATATATTTTTCACATAGAGTTTGATATATAAAATTCAGCATAATTAAACAATAATAATAGAGCATACATATACGTATATTTACATATATTTACACAGGGATTTTCCTTAACTTCATTTTTATCAACAAGAATTATTACATGAATAGTTGGAGAAATATATTTCAAAATTAGCGAATTTTCTTCCATACTAAAGCAAATTTTGAATGAATTATGTATATTAATCATAATAAAGGAAATAAATATATAAAAAAAAAATTCTAAAATGTTTTGTTTTCTAGTATGTTGGCAATTTACCTGCTGCCCTCTCTAGAGTCTTTCTAAAAATAGCTATTAATCATTGTGCTGAGGTGTTAATGTTTCATAGAATCTTTTGCCTTTATGCATTTAAATCTGAGGCTCATTAGGGAGAGCGCCATTATGGAGTACAACAACAATGAGTTGAGCTTGTTTTTTGTCATTTCAGAAAATAGAAGAGAACTGAAATGCTTTTTTTTTTATCTTCACGCAACATTTGACAACAGCAGCAGCAGAGGCAGAGGCAGAGGCAACCCCAACCCTAAAGAGCAAACGCAGCCACTGAATGGCAGCGCATTGTCTTTCAACTAAAAATATGTATATAGTATATACTAGTATATATATATGTATATCTATACGAGCATATTACATTATATATAGTAGGCTCATTGTGTAGGCAGCAGCTAGGGGCAAGCCTTTCAAGCGTTGCGGTCGTTGTGGATGGCAAAAGGCGAAAGGCAAAGACAGAAACCGCGAGGGACAAGGTTGCAAAAATATCAAATTACGCCAGCCAGGGCCAGGCCAAGCAGCAGCAGGATGAACTAATAATAAAAAGGGATATATAGGGATATATATACGTGTTTATATACACAGCTGCTATATATACATATATACATATAACATTAAGAGCGGAGTGAGTTTAGCAGCACAAATCATAGGGGTTATATATAATATGTGTACATTGCGCATACGCCACGTCGCACCTCGCAGAGCGCTAACAATTAAGCGACCTCATTTGCACACACACAGCGCACACCAAACCACATGCAACCACAACAAACAACAACAACAACAGCAACTTGGGAGACATTTAGACGCTTTTGAGTGACAGCTGCACTTAAAGAGCAAAAAAGTATAGCAAAAAACCGAGAGAGATAGAAAATATAAAAAAAAAAAAAAAAAACAAACAAACAGCAAGAACAGTTATCTTTAAGCTAACGAACATAAAATACCCTAGCAGGCAGACAGTGAGACAGACAGGCAGACATATGACAGATGCACAATATAATATCGCTATAGATATGTGTAAACATATTTTGATGACTTGTGACACACTTGAAAAGACTTTAGCTTTATTCTTTATTAACTTTAGTTTCGAATATGCTTACAAGTTGTTAAATGTTTTTTTTTTTTTATGACGCATTTTAGCAATAACTACAGAAACATGGGCTTAAATCACATAGAGACAAACTTTGAGCAGTCTTTCGTAAACAACTCTCGAAAA